GCATTTGGGTGTTTTGTTCTATAAATTGAATTAGGTCAAGATGGTTGATAATGTTGCTCAAATCTTCTGTATTACTGGGTTTTTTGTTTTGTTTCATTTTTTGAGACAGAGTCTCACTGTTTTGCCCAGGCTAGAGAGAAGTGGCGTCATCATAGATCACTGTAACCTCCAACTTCTGGACTCAAGCAATCTTCCTGCCTCAGCTTCCCAAGTATTAATAGCTGGGCCTATAGGTGTATGCCACCACAACCTGGCCTATTACTGTTTTTTTTTCCCTACCTTGTCTACTAATCCAAAAGAAGGCTGAAAAGGAAGAACAAATGATAGATGGGACAAAAAGTAAAAAATGGGAGAAAGTAGACTAAAATCCAGCCATATCAACATTTATGTTAAATGTAAGTGGACTAAATTTACCTAATTCTCCCTTATTCTGTTGTTTCATGTATTTTGAAGCTTTGTTAGTAGTTACAAAAACATGTATGCTTGTTATGGCTTATTGATGGATTCACTCACCATTATAAAATATCTCTCTTTCTTTCCTTCTAGTAATACTTACTGATTTGTAGTTTGTTCCCCTCATATTAGTATACCTACTCCTGAAAAAAAAATCTACTTCTGCTTTCTTATGCTTACTATATGCATGGTGTATCTTATTTTTCATCGTTATACTATTATATTTCTTTATATTTAAAGTACAACTGTATAAACAGCATATAGTTCTTTTTGTAAAACTATTCTGATGATCTCCAGCTCTTATTACTGTTTGTTCCATTTATATTTAATACAGTTATTTATATGGTTTAGTTTAAATCTGCTATCTTGGCTTTTGATTTTTCTTTTATCCCATCCATCCACTGTTCCTCCATTACTGCATCTTTAGGATTAAATAAAATTGAAGTTTTTATTAATATTCCGTTTTATCATCTCAATTGGCTTTTTACTTATATCTTTTTTTTTTTTCATAACATAGTCTCACTCTGTCACCCTGGCTAGAGTGCAGTGGTATCATCATAGCTCACTGCAACCTCCAACTCCTGGGCTCAAGCAATCCTCCTGCCTCAGCCTCCTGCCTCAGTCCCTCCTGGGACTATAGGCGAGCACCACCACGCCCAGCTAATTTCTTTCTATTTTTAGTAGAGATGGGGTCTCACTCTTGCAGGCTGGTCTCAAACTCCTGACCTCAAGTGATCCTCCCCACCTTGGCCTCCCACAGTGCTAGGATTACAAGTGTGAGCCACCACGCCTGGCTTATCTTTTTATTTTATAGTTTTAGTGGATTACATTATTTATTCTTATCACAATCTGCCATGAATTAGTATTAAACATCTTTGTGTATAATGTAAGAATTTTACCCCCTTCTGACCTTTGAGCCAGCAGGATTGGAGTTTTCTTCAGGAGTCCTAGCCACTCTGCATCACATGGTTTGGGGGTGCCCACAGGTGAAAGCTGTATAAATGTGAATCTTTTCCATTATGGTTCCTTTTTCTTAAGAGCTAAATTCCCTCCAGTTTCTACCTGCTTTTGGTCACTTTCCAGTTTCTTCAAAAAATGTTTTTATATTTCATACAGTGTTTTGAATCACTATATGGGTGACAGTTTGTCCAGTAATATTACCAAACTGGAATTTCCATTTTGTTATTAGCAAAAGTGTTACAAGCATTTTTGAATTATTACCCAACTCAAAAACTTGGCAATAACCTTGTTACTTGGTAACTTGCATCGTTCTCTTTTTTCTTTTTCTACAATTTTATTGAATTTGTATGTATTTCTAAATTTTTTATATATTAATATATAATATGTTTATAATCTATATCAATTAGCTGATATATATAATGAATTTTTTATTTACCATTATATTGTGTGCATTTATCCGTTCTACACATATATTTCTTTAGTTTGTTTTGACATCTGTATGTCATTCCATTGTGTGACTATCCCATAGTTTATTCATTCCCTCTCATGTTGATGGACATTTGGGTTGGTTTTATATTTTTGTTCTTGTAAAGAATCCTTCTATGAATGTTCATGTATTGCTCTTGGTTGTACCTTGGAGTAAATATTGGTGTATTGAAAATGAATGTGAATGTTTAATTTTAGATGAATTGTTGAAAGTGGTAGACCATCTTACATTCCCACCACCATTCTATAAGAGATTCTGTGAAACTGGGCATGGTGTCACATGCCTGTAGTCCCAGCTACTTAGGAGGCTGAAGCAGGAGGTTTGCTTGAGCCCAAGAGTCTGAGTCCAGCCTGGGCAATCTAGTGAAATCCCATCAAAAAACTAGCAAACAGGCTGGGCGCGGTGGCTCACGCCTGTAATCCTAGCACTCTGGGAGGCCTAGGCGGGCGGATTGTTTGAGCTCAGGAGTTCGAGGCCAGCCTGAGCAAGAGCGAGACCCCGTCTCTACTAAAAAAAATAGAAAGAAATTGGCTGACAACTACAAATATATAGAAAAAATTAGCCAGGCATGGTGGCGCATGCCTGTAGTCCCAGCTACTTGGGAGGCTGAGGCAGTAGGATCCCTTGAGCCCAGGAGTTTAGGTTGCTGTGAGCTAGGCTAATGCCACGGCACTCACTCTAGCCAGGGCAACAGAGTGAGACTATGTCTCAAAAAAAAAAAAAAGCTAGCAAACAACAAAAGATTCTGTGAATCCACATCCTATACAACACTTGGTGTTGTTAAATTTTTTCATTAATTTACTGTGTTTAAAATAATATCACGTGGTTTTAAACTCCTCAATTATTAATGATATTAAGCATCTCCTCATATTTTTATTGGTTGAAAAATATTCCTCTTCTTGTAAGTGTCTGTTCATGTCTTCACTCCTCTCATTGCTTTTTATTGATTTGTAGGCATTCTACACTTGGAATATCACTGAAATAGACCTCCTATATTTGACTACTTTTAATTTATTAGAGAGATCTTTGGCCTTTGAATCTGTCACTGCTCCCTGGCCACCTATTGAATGCGCAAACCCTCCAAACTGGACCCCCTTATCCTGCTCCATTTCCCTCCCCCTTATTACCTACCACCTTTCCCATATTATATGTGTATTTATTACTTGTATTTACTGTGTTTTCTTTATTAGTACATGTAGGCTGCTACACGATAAATGTAGAGATTGAAAGTAAGCATTTATAAACTTTCACAGCAATTTAACATTGTCATCATGTTTTCCTTATGTTAAACAAAGGATTGTTCTCTAATGAATTAGAAATTTTTGTAAAAACTGGTTCTTCACTACTTCGAAAAGCATGCTCTAGGTTGTCTCATATCTTCATGTTCTAACATTTGAAAGGCTCATTGAACAGAACAGAGAAGAAACAGGTAACCACCTGTCATACTTGAAGTGTTTGTGCTCTACACAAAATATAGCTGGTAAAAAAGATGAATTTTTTTTCTATTTTAGTGAGATGGTAAGTGTGTTTTTCTAATGTGGGTGTTACTTTGTTTTATTGGTATTCCCATGTTTATAGCTGAGCCTGGTATGTGTCTCTTTGTTTTCTCTATAAACATATATCATATGAAATCCAGCTTAATCCTTTATGCTCTCAATTTTTATGTTTTGTGTCTTCCAGACTGAAGTATGGTTATTAAACGTGTGCCCCACCTCTTTGGATTGTACGCTGGCTGAGTGTGCAAGTCAATTTGTTAGAATCACCTCGGTTCATAACCTAACTTGTTGATACTTTGGTTTCTGGGTAACTAAACGCATGCCTTGGGTATTTTTTTTGTGGTAGTATTCCACATAAAATGATATTTTATACCTTCTGAAGTGAGTAAAGTTCTAGAAAACCACTAGATGAAACTACTTTAAAATCAAAGTGATATTTCCCAACAAATTTTTGGTATTTTGTTAAAATAAATGTATAGTAGGGAATTGAGTCAAGAAACTGATACCAGAACTATAAATATATTTGTGAAAATAAAGTGGTAAGTGAGATCTGGCTGCTTGGAAACAGAGAGCAAAGGTTTCTGTTAAGCAGCGCGCCCTTTCTTTCCAGGTATTTGCTATACTACTGCATCTGCAAGGCAGCAAGAGCCTTATTCAGGTCTATTGGGAGATTCTGCATGGGTGCTTGGGCTGGCACCTGAAATGCATTCATTCATGTTGAAAATCACATTATCTTATCTTTTTCTTGTCTATGACCAAATATTTTACAAGCATAATCTCAAAATACTTTTAACAGATGAGGCAATGAGTAGATTGTGACACAATTTCAGCATAAACCTGTTCTTCAAATAAAATCAGAAAAGCAGAAATTCAGTGTTATACTGGAAGTCAGACAGACCTAGATTAAAAACTAACCTTTGCTGTATTTACTTGCTATGCTTCGTGTAAAAATCAAATATCTTCGATCCTCACTTGTAAAATGGAGATGAATGTATCCATTTTATAGGTTTGTTGTCATTATTAAGGATTATGGATAACTTACATAAAAGTGTAAGAACCACTATGGGCACTTAATTACATTACAAAATACCAGTAGGGGTTTGTGTGTGTATGTGTGTTTAGTACATATGTTAATGAATCCTTTTCTTAGACAATTCTTAAAGCAAACCGTTATACAGAAAGAAAAAAAGCAAACAAGAGAGCAGAGATTGGTGGGGCTGGTACAGGGAGGAAGGAGTCTTGTCTCGCCAGCACCTCTCATGCGCCCAGCAAGCTTCCACGGCCATCCCTGGTACACTTCACACAGTCCTAGAGCTCTGAAGTAGAGCATGGAAACCATTCTACTGGATGTTAAAGACCTTGAGGGCAAGAACCGAATCTTCTTTATTACCTGATTCAGGTATGGCATGTGGTCTTGTGCTACAGATGATTGGCCACAGCTTCCTAAATGGTTAGGTTGATTCGGCTCCACTACTTCTGAAGTTCTCTCTCCATATTTTACTGAGAAACGTAGTTCTAACTGGAAGCTGAATTAGCAAACTCACTTGCAAGCCTGTGTCATGTAAAGGATGCAATGACAGCATAATTATTTTTTCAGGTCTAGGTTGGAATTTGCCCTTGACATATAAGAAGATGATGAGTGATGAAAGTGACATGTTGGCCATGGCGTTGGAGCGGATGAGTGGCATCAGAGCAGGTAACCTGCATCCTCTGAAAGATGGAATCATGACATTTACTCCGCTTGGTTGGCTTTTTCATTACAAGTCTCTTACTACCTTTTCACTTTCTTAGTTTCATTTCTTGGCTCTCTACAATGCCTTTGGGTTCCCATGGTTTCATTTCTTCATTTTCTCCTTGTGTCTATTCTCCATTTTCTGCCAGAATTATTCTCAAACTGAATTTTAAAATACCAAAAATTCCACTTCCATCCTAGGTTTTTGATCAAGGATAAAGAATCTACACCTCCGGTGATTCTGGTGTAGACGGTCTGTGGACCACACCTTGAAGGACACTCCACAACCCAATATCCATGAATGTTCTCATCTCTTCCCTCAAATCAACGTTCACTTTTCACCAATGACTCTCACATTTATTTTGTTATTGTTTGGAGATGGGGTCTTGTGTGTTGCCCAAGCTGGAGTGCAATGGCTGTTCATAGGTGCGATCATAGCTCACTGCAGCTTCAAACTCCTGGGCTCAAGCAATCCTTGTGTCCCAGACTCCCGAGTGGCTGGGACTATAGGTGTGCACCATCGAGCCTGGCTTGTTCAATTTACATCTATTTACTATCCCAATTCTTTGCTAAGCTTCCCAGTCCCTATTTCTAACTTCCAACCAAATATCTTCCTGAAATGTCCTATAAGTACATCAGTGTTATTTACAGCATTGAGCTCATTCATTATCTTTCCTTGGAAATTCCTCTAATGGTCTTTTTCTCAGTTCATTTTGTAACCCTCCATCCACACTTTCCTAAGCCAGAAATTTAAGTCATTTTAGACATTTTGTCCCTCATGTTCCCCATTTAGCTAATCAAGTTCTGCAAATTCTGCCTCCTCCCAGATTCTGCCTTTTCTTTTTATCCTCTCTAAAATATGTCCTGTCTGTGCTACCGTTATCTTGCTATGGCCAAGTAACCTTTCCACGTGATGCCCCTGAGACTCTTGCTTTCCTGCTGTAGTCCATCCTTCTTGACACCACCAGAATCTCCTTTCTAAAACACAGATCTCATCATATGATTCCCTTGTCAAGGATCTTCAATGGTTGCCTATCGTGAAAGGAGAGCAAAGGCAGTAAACCAGCACAGCTTTGTCTTGCACGTGGAAGTGGGGGCTGACTAGCAAGTGAACCCTTGAGGTCTCCAGGAATGCTGGCTACCTTAGGTCTCATGTCACATTATGGTTTTTGTCTGAAGAGAGGAACTTTTATGTATTTAGGAACTCATTATAACAAGGAGAGGGATGAATATGTACCAGTAGGTGGATTTGTCACCCCCCCTACCCCATGGTCAAGGTCAGAGTGCAGTTGAGCTCTACTCCTCCTGGATTCTAGTTGTGCTGGCCCCACCTGCTTATTTTTTCTGGTGATAAATTTGACCTTATTCTGTTTGGTTGTTCTAAGTCCTGTTCAGAAGGTTCTTTTTCTCCTGAGGGAAGTGGCATGCCATAGTTGGTTATGCTTCTATGTCCTGGAGACCCAACTTCAATTTAACCTCCTTTGTAAGTTAGAGTACTGCATTCAGTTCTTGTAATATCATTTTGAAAGAGTTCTTGGCAAGCTAAAACTTGTCTAGGGAAGGTGAACGTGAACACCAAGAGTCTAATAACCAAATCTGGTAAGGAATAGGCTAAGTTTAATCTAGAAAAGTGTTTCCTTTCTCAGGGCATGAAACATGCTTCCAAATACTAGTTGAAGGACTATTATGTGGAAAAGATATGGACTTACTGTCATGATTTCAGAAAATATTACTAGAACCAATTCTAGGCTTTTACCAGAGATTCTTACCTTATACTCTTAGAAAAACTCTACTTGAGAGAAATGATATTTCTAGAATAGGATTTGAAGGTTTTACATTTTATATATTCTATTATATTAGTGTATTTATTTCTTAGCCCCAAGAAGGGCTTCAGACCCTTTCAGACAGTTATCAAGAAAAACAAAGATTCCCCAGGTCCCACCTCAAACTAAGTCAGTGAGAAGCTTTGGGGGTAGGTAGGACCTAGGTTTATATTTTTTCAAACTAACTTCAGTAATTCTCTAACTGGGGTAGGAGGGAGAGGAGGAAAAATGACTATAAATATTTGGAAACTTTCTAAATATTCATCTCTCCCCTATGCCCACCTTGTTTTGTGAAGGCAATTTAACAGAAGGGGCTGTCACGGACACATACATTTTTAATAATATTATCAGGTGATCCTAATGCTCAAAACTGCTGGAATAGAACACCACAGCCTGACTGGGTTTTAATGCTCTTCTGTTTCTCCCTCCCCCTGACATACCCTTCTCAGTTTTTATTTTTCTGGGTTCTCATCTCAGCCTACAGGGCTCCTAGGAGATGGATTCAGAGGGTTGCGTGATGCAGTTAGCGCTGTGCCTTGTGTATCAACAGTGACCATTACTAGAGTTTGGCAGATACTGGTCTAAATCATTTGGTCCAGTATTAGGAAGGTCAGTGGAATGGACTAGCTGAAAGAGAATTTCTGTTTCCATTGTCACAATTGACCAAGCCCGATGGCCACCTGGGGAGAGAATTCACGCATTGGTTTGCATGTATCATCCAATTGCAGACCTTCAAACATGTGAGGTGATAACCTGACCGTAAGAGTGACTGATTTGTAAGTATAAATGTAGTATGTGTATTTGAAGGACCAGAAAATAAAAATCAAAGAGATAAAGAGGTATATATGATTGTTTTCATAATGGATTGCAGGTCAGTTGTGTGAATTTAAAAGTAGTAGAATGTTTTCTCCTATAAGTAATAAAAACAAAGGTGGCCGTAAACCTTTTCTTTTTGAGACAGGATCTCCCTGTGTTACCCAAGCTAGAGTGCAGTGGCATTGTCATAGCTCACTGTGACCTCAAACTCCTGGGCTCACACACTCCTCCTGCCTCAGCCTCCTAAGTAACCGGGACTACAGGCATGCGCCAGCATGCCCATCTAATTTTCCCATATTTTATAGAGACAAGGTTCTCACTCTGTGGCCCAAGCTGGTCTTGAACTCCTGGGCTCAAGCAATCCTCCTGCCTGAGCCTCCCAAAGTGCTGGGATTACAGGTGTGAGCCACTGGGCCCAGCATGTAAAACTACTTTTTAAGGCTGATATTAACAAGAGCATTTGACGGTGGGCCGCAAACTAAATCATAGGGGAAATGTTTAGACACACGTGCTTCGCACTTACATACACAAATGCACACATGTGATTCCGTGAAATCTGGAGATTAAATTCCAGTAAGTTAACTGGAAGGTGGCCTTCATGCCTTCGAAATTGTGCTATGCAGTTTCCACCTCAGTATAAATCCTTTTCAGGGATTTTTGAAGATTTTATGGTCTGCATATGCATGGTTCCACCTGGACTCATCTACGACCCTATCCATGGTTTCCGTGAGGCCAGCACACCTCACACCAAAGCCCACCAGGCTCTTTATCTTTCTATTCTAGACAGTTGGCCTTCGTGTTAGGTATAGGACCATTGATATTTCCCACCAATTATATGGTTTTTATTTTTGTACCAAATGGCTATGACTTACAGAGATTTACATGATTGAATTATCGTTTTCTTGTTCCTTGTTTTGATTATTCCTCAATGTGGTTAGACTGGTTTATCGCCTTCAGCTTTGGTATTTTATCTAATATAAATCCCATTGTCTCTCTCTGTGATTTTCCTTTAACCTAGGTTCTAAGGCTCTGGAGTATTCCAATGGGTTTCTGATTGCCACTGTTCCACTTCTCTGTTCACAGGAAGCTTGCGAGCTCTGCACCTTGTGGAAGACCTGTGTGGACTGTTAGAGACAATGGAAACAGATGAGAAGGAAGGCCTGAGATGCCAGATCCCAGACTCAACAGCAGAAATGCTTATTGAATGGCTTCAGAGTCAAATGGTAGATGTTACAGGCTGTGTTGTGAATCTTTTGTTGCTTATTCCAAAATTCAGAGCATAGCATAAGTGACTACAACAAGAAAAAAAATTGTAAGGCAAGAGATTTACTCTGATTTTGTCCCTTAAGAGATTCCAATTTCATTTTGACTCTAAGGCTAACTTTTTAAAAAGCGCTGGTAGTCTGCATTTTATGATTGCTGACAAGTCACCTGATTTTGCCCATCAAAATGGCTTTTAGACTGTGCCTGAACGACCTACTGTGGCTTACCGCAAATAGCTGTGTAAGAGAAAGAACCTTGCACATAATAGATGTTTTCTCAGTAATATTGGGACGTTCACTCAAAAGCACCAATGGCAATTCTAAATGGAAAGTGTAATGAATACACACTTCCGAAAGCAGCAAGGTTTGTGGTAGTATTTGATATGAAGTGCCATCTAGTGGTTCGTGGCAATCATTTCAATTCTAGTTCTTGAGTTAGATTGAGTTGAGTGTTACTGAACAACAAGGCCTCTTTCTAGGCATCCTTCCCCCCAAATTGATGACATGGAAGAGCTGTCCTTTCTCTGGGCACAATGGTAAATACCATGGTTTTAATATGTGATGACCACATACAATCTAAAGAATGTCACAAAAACAGATCCAAAGAGTAGGAATCATACTATTTTGTAAGTATTTAAAGGACACTCAATTTTCAGTAAGATGCACTAATATGCTTGTGAGTTAATTGCGTTTATATAAAAACTAATGAACATTGTATGAAAGACTCAATTCTGCTTTTGGATCTGTGGTAGAAATGAAAGCTGCTTGCTTGGGGAACCTTGATAGTACAACCCGTTTTCACGTGATGTGGCACAAATACTGGTGCTCCCAACCAGTGCTGCGCTAAGTTCTTATGTTCCCACCCAATGTCGCTCTCCACTTCTGAGTGCAAACAGTACCGTTGATCCTTTCATGGTGGTACAGCTATACCACCTTCACAATCGGAGATATTTTACTTTTTAAAATATACGACGGCTTGCTGTTATACTTTGTATTTACTCTGCAAGTTTGTCCTCCAGAGATTTAAGGTACCAGGTTTGCTGATTTCTTTGGGGATGGTCTTATGCTCTGAAATTAGGTGTTTTCTAGCATATTCCTTAGCCTGTTTTACATCCTATCTCACCCTTCTTTACTGAATGTTTTTCTGAATATTTAGCATGTAGTGAGAAAGGAATTTACTGTTGTTAGAAGAACCTGTTCCCCTAGCCCACATCCAGAGGCTGCCAATGACAGTAATAACTTAAGAGAGTACCTGTCGTTAAATTTTTGACATTTTTTCAGAAATTGTCAATGGCGCCACATCTTATTCAGAGTCATATCCAAAGTGCTTACTATGGGATGCAAGGCTTTATAGGATTGGCTCCCCATGACTCTCGGGCCTGACCTCTCATTACAGCGCTTCCCTTTTTCAATCCACTCCAGGCACATTGGCTTCTTCGCTGATTCTCAAACATGCCAGGTAAACTGGCCACAGGGCCTGGGCTCGAGCAATTCTCCTACCTCAGCTTCTCGAGTAGCTGGGACTACAGGCAAGCACCACAGCACCCAGCTACTTTTTTCTATTTTTTTAGTAGAAAGGGAGTCTCACTCTTGCGCAGGCTGGTCTTGAACTTCCAGCCTCAAGCAATCTTTCTGCCTCGACCTCCCAGAGTGCTAGGATTACAGGCGTGAGCCACCGCATCCGGGCTTGGTTGCTTTTTAAATTGAACTCTCTAGATGGTCCCGTTTAACTATTTTGGATTCCAGCTGGCTTTTATTCCTATTGTATTTGAATAAGGAATCAGGAAATCTATTGGGATCATATATTTTATGGTTTTGAACCAGTTAAAAGCTATTAAAAATCACATATACTACTACATGTTTCCAAATATTTTTTGTGTTTCTTTCATGACTTGCATATGACAGCAGAGAAAATAAAAAATCTATACTTTCTTTCTCAGGCTATATTTCCTGTGGCATTTATACCATGCATAAATATAGCCAAATCCTATTTAAAAGGGGGGGGCAGGAGGGAGGGGAAGAAAGAATGAGCATCAATATATGCAGATGAGTGAGGTGCTAGGGAGGGCACAAGACGATTTACAAACTCTGCCCAGGAGCCGAACATAACATTATACAAACAAGCAAACTCAGAAGAAGTTAATGAGTTTAAGACAGAAAGTGATAAAATGCTGATAAGCATGGCTAGTCAGTGCTACCAGAGGCAGTCGTTTGTGGACTGAGTGTTTGAGCTTTCTGGGGCAGAGAGAAAGGCTTCAACAGTTCTGGGTGTGCAACGCACACTCACAAAGCTTTGCCTGCTCCTGGGTGTGTGTCTACTGTCAGTGAAGAATATTACCAGCCATTGTTCCTTTGGGGTCATTATTTTCTCCTTGATAAGAAATTGTTGTGTAGTTTGGAGAAAACATGCCCAAATGCTTCACATGCCTGTCTTACCTCTTTTGAGGTAAATGATCCAAATTCCATTCTCCTGTTTTCTGTTTGGCAATGACAGCTTTGCTGAATTCAATTCAGGCTCCTTGGATTAAAAACACGCGATTTTCATTTTCCCACAATACCTCGATGTTAAAGAGGGTCAGCCTCACCCGTATTATTTCCTTCTTCAGACAAGTGGACACCTTCCTGGGAACGGAGACGTGTATCAGGAAAGGCTGGCGCATTTAGAAAGTGATAAAGAATCCTTCGTTTTTCGGGCAAGTGATTTTAAAGTGTTCATCTTTCCTACAACATACTTATAAAGACTGTCTTAAATTGGGATGGCAAATTCAAATGCTTACAGCCACCAGACTGCTCATGGCAGTAAGCGCAGTAGGGAGTGGTGAGGCCTGGGGCGGAAGGAGGCGTGTGCGCCCAGTCTAGAGGGAGCCGCCCTTAATCAGCTCAGCTCTTCCAGGGCCAGTCTGAATAGAGGCCCAGTGTCATCTGATGTGACTTTCTGATCTCATCCGTCATCTGATCTGATTTTCAATATATAGCAGAAATTCAGATATATCAATATCCATAGTATAAAAATATGAATATATTAATATATAAGTACATATTTCTGAATCTGGATATATACTTTTAATTTTTTAATTTTTTCAAATGATACCATGGGCCAGACAAAACACAACAGTGAAAAGAGTCTCACTTGTGGGCTAAATTTGAGTCCGTTTCTTCATAATATGTTAAAATGTTTGGCAGTTATTTTTCTTTTGTATTTTGAGCTAAATGAATTGAAGTATATTTACTAGGCTGGTGATTATTGAGGAAAAACTCAGAGATTCGCAGTAAGCACGGAGGTTGAGGGAGTCACCCAATAGCCAGGTCCTCACAGGCCTTTGAATGTGTTGAGTTCTGATCTGAATCATCTTGAAAGATCTCATGGAATTTGAATTTTCTGGTTTCTTCTCCTTATTCTTCTCGAAGTATCAAATTGGAATAGTCCTTGATAATTTCTGTTTCAAACATTAACTTCATTTCCTCTCTGAACCTCTAATACTATCTCTCTCTGCCCCCAGAAAGATAATTAGTATGCACACACTCTCTCTCATAAATGGTTGAAATGGTTTTAACCTGTAAAGTATTGTACATCCCTAATCAACGCTAACTTTCTCCAAAATTGTATAGGACTCTTTAGATCAAAAAGCTACATATACATGGGAATGTGAAGGACCACTGTCGCCTTGTTAATTTTCAGCTTATTTTTCTTTACAACCATATGAGTGGTAGGATCATTGCAGTGTTTGTTCCATTTAGAGAAATAAAGCATGCAATAGGACCCACATTCTTTCTAACTCGTTGCTGTATTGTACTCCAAATACAGGTAAGTGTGTTAACAGAGCAGGTGGAGGCTCAGGGAGAGAAGATTAGAGATTTGGAGTTCTGTCTCCAAGAGCACAGACAGAAGTTGAATGCCACAGAAGAAATGCTGCTGCAGGTTTGTGCAGAAGCCAGCACCAAGGTGGGCTTTTCCAGATGAGTTATTTGAGTTATTACATTTCTATGTTGTATTTGCTCTGATGCAGCAGTAAATTTCGAGATTGACTTAGACCAGCGCATTTTATGCAAAAACCCAGAATAGCAGAATCTCAAAACACATACATAACATAAAATGTTTATGTAATTAGAATCTGGAATAAAATATTAAGAGGATTGTAGGTTATTTTAATTTTCTTCCTTTTTTTTTTGGCATTCAGGTGGTTTTCTAACTCTCATCCAAGAGCATATATTTTATGACTAAGAAAAAAGACAAGTACCACATATGACCTTTGTTACTGGGGAAAAAACTCATAATGTATACACACATGTGCGCACACACACGGTGCTCACATGTGAGAGGCTCTGTAATATAGCAGATAGTGTACATACTGGAGCAAAACGCTCGGGTCTGAATTCCTGGTCTGCCATATCCTTGCCGTATAACTTTTGGCAAATTCTTAACCTTTCTGTTTCTCAGCTTCCTCATCTTTTGAATAAAGATAATAGGAATTCTACTTCATAAGATTGCCATGAGGATTGAAAGACTGTGTGTTAGAACAGTGCCTGACACATAGTAAACACAATGTCATCATCGTCATCATCAATGTTATCATCAGGCTTAAGAACATATAAGGTTTATATGTGTGTGTGTATCTATATAACCTGTCTTCCCCAATAAACTGACATGTGTTTATTGATGCTCAAAGAAGGGTAACAAAAGTAAATAATTTTTTAAGTGTATATATTCAGTAATTATACTTTGCTGCATCCTTTACTTGATTGGTGCTGCTTTGTAATCAGATGAAACAAACTCACATGTGGCTGCTTATAATAAAACAATTTTCAATGTATCTCTTAAATTCTAATACGAACTTCTGAGCAGGACTTCTTCAAAAAAAACTCAGAGATTGCATCTGATGGCTGAAATATGTGACTTGAAGTTAAAACTGATGGCTATGGAGAAGGACAAATTGGATTATGAAGATAGGTCTAGAGACACAGATGTGACCCTGTCTGTCTGTCTGTCTCTCTTCCCACCCCCACCTCTCACACACAGTCCTATAGCAAAGTTGAAATTCCCTGGAGGTGTGTGCAGGGGAGGTAGTTAATTACTCTGTGCCTCCACCCTGCTTCGTTTTAAGAATAAACTTTAATTACATTGACTTCTGATCACTAAATGCAAATGGAAATTTTTATTATAAAAAAAATTTTTGTTAAGACTTTTGATATGCAATATTAATCTTTTCATTAACCTTTAAAAATACATTTGACTTCAGGATATTTGGATCATCCACCCATCCATTCGTCCATACTGATTTTCTTAATTTTATAAATAATGGGTTTAAATACATGGTTTTACTAGTAGTTATTATTTAGGCACCCTGATTATTTACTATGTCATTGGATTTTGC